CCCATCCCATCCCATCCCATCCCATCCCATCCCATCCCATCCCATCCCATCCCATCCCATCCCATCCCATCCCATCCCATCCCATCCCATCCATCCCTCTCCCACTCCCCCGTCCCCGTGCCGTGCCGCAGCGCCCCCTGGCGGTCTCCTGCCGCCCGCTCCGCCCCGCATCCCGGGTTGCCACGGTGACAGCGGGGATGCTGCTCCTCCAGGCCGGGAAGGCTCGAGGGGTTCCGCAGGCTGGGTCTTGAGGGCTTCAGCAGGCTTTGGGGGCCTGGAAGGCTGCAGGACTTCTAGGAATCTGGGGGACTCCTGGGGCACTTCTGGAGAGATGCGAAGTAACTGCCCTGAGGGACTGCTGGGGTGTGTTAGGAATTTGGGGTGAGGTCCTATTGGATGTGGAGCTCTTGGGGAGCTGTGGAGGTCTGGAGAACTGGCAGATTTCTAGGGGGCTCTGCTGGCTGTTCAGCCCTCTCCAGACCACTGGGCCAGTCTGGACCCTGACAGGCTACTGGCAGCATTTGTCTGTGTCAGGGCTTCTGGCTATCAAAGGAATGGATTTGGCTTTGCCAGATCAGGAGCAGTAAGGAGCTGTGGTAAGGAACTGTCAGCCCCCACAAGACCTGTCCCTTTTCCCCAGCTGCACAGAGAACAAGACACACAGCCCAATTGGTTTGCACACCCATGAGAGGCTCACAGACACAGTGCACAGGTAACCCATGGATGTGCAGAGGAATTACCCCACAAGTACAGACCGTGTGCTTCCTCTTCACAATTTTGGCTTCTGTATAGTCCATCTTTCAGGACACAGATCAGACACCTTACTCAAAAGTACTAAATCTCTTCCCAGGGATCCATTGCCACATCTCCACAGCCATGTCCATGCAGCCCAGAGCATGAAAGCAGCCCATTGTGGGGGAGATGAGACAGAATCCAAAGAAGTAACTTGCTGATGGCTGGAGCTCATGCTGAACATCTCACAGAGGGCTTCAGAATCCCTCTATAGATGGTCTCAGCTATCATTCCAGAGGACAGCAGGGATTACCTGAAGTTTAACAGGACCTGCCTGAACTGACCTCTCCTAACAAGCAGTCCAGGCCATGGGGTGTGCTCAAATGCATCCAATTCAGAGAGACCTGCAGAGCCTACAGAACAGCTCCACACATATTTCAGCACACAGCTCCTGCAACTCTCCAGCTCCCTTCCTGGAGGACCATTTTGCACCCACATACATCCTCCCTGTCTTAGACACAACTGAAGAGACATAATATCACACGTGAACATACTCTCACACAAGCACACATGGGGACAGTGTCACTGACACACACACACACTGGCAATTTGCTGTGTATTCATCGAGATGCAGGAAAATACACAGGCCAACTTATTTACACACCCACGAGGGGCTCACACACAGTGATGGGTTGTACAAGCTCACATGCACACATATGGTCATGAACAAGCATAAACATGCTACCTGTGCATGCACATACACAAAGCTGCTTGCATGCTCAGGTACCTTCACTGGCACCCACCCTACCCTGCTCACACCCACCCATGTGTTCCTGTGAGTGGGCGTGGGGACAGGAGCTCCTGGGAGCCCTGTGTGCCTCCCTTCTGCCAGCACCACTGTGGCCAAGTCAGAAGGGAATTTCCAGCTGCAAAGCTGCAGCTAACAGATTTAGAGACTTCCTCCCCAGTGATTGCTGGGCCAAGTTAATGGTTCACCAGCACCCTGCTTCTCCTGCCCTTCCCTGCTGGCTGCCTGGGGTGGGGCAGGTGAGGAAGGACACACTGGTGGGCATCTCCAGCACGCCGTGCTGCTTCCCTTGCCTTGCAGTCTGCCCAGCACTGGGAGCTCTGCTTTTTCCCTGCCTGGCAGTACCCAGCATGTGGGGCACTGCCGGTCTCAGCTACCTCAGCTTAGAGCTCTCTTGAAGAGGAGCGTACAGGAAAGCCCCCAGTGTCCACCACTGCTGCAATGTGGAGGGTGGGCACAGGAGTGTGAACCTCTCTGCCCAGGTTCTCACCCTGCTGACATCCCTCTGGGGGTCCTGAGCCCAGTGGGGCATCACCAGCTGAGCAGGCACTGCACACACACATTCCACTCTGCAGTTACCTAAACCCCTATGCTGGGTAACCCTGGAGAAACCAGTTCTTGTGGGCTCCTTGCAGCATGGGAGGGACCCCCTCAGAGATTCCTGGAGCCCCTGGAACAGAGGCTTGGCAGCTTGCCTTGCTGGGCAGCCAGGCAGGCTGTTCCTCAGCCTGTGTTTGTCCATGAGGGGCACAGGCTGATCAGGTTATAAAGACATACATGCCTAGCACCCTGCCATCCAGGTGGGGTTGCACGTGGCCCATGGCATGCCAAGTGAATGCCTTGCATGCCACCAAGACAACAGTGCCAGTGCTGTCCTGGGCTTCTGTGTGCCAGGCTCTGCAGCGGGGACTGCAGTGACCATGGCTGGAGTGAAAAGAATACGGGGTACCTTCCAGGAAGTCAGAGCACAAGAGCACAGTGCTAGGGCAGCTAGATGTACCTCTGGCATGAGGCATGAGTGGAGGCACCATGGACTGCACAAACTGGCACCCCCAGCATTGACAGCTGTGGCTGATGGAAGGAGAGCACTCACACACTGGAAGCAGCAGAGCAGGGCAGGAGAGTACTCACCCTCATCCACACACATCTCCAGGCTTGACAACCACAGAGAAAAACAGAGAGCAGATAAAAAATGAGCTGGACTTCACCCACAGGTCCCAGCAGGGCTAGGGGCTGCCAGAAGTGTGACTGATGGGGACTCACAGCTGGGGCAAGGCGGCTCTGTGGCTAATCCCATTCCAGTACGGTGGTCAGCGCTTCTCAGCCCTCCCCAGGAAGTGCTGTGGCATACAGCTTTAAATAGCTTTATTAGTGGAAGCTCTGTGCCACGGGAACCTTGGGGATGCCAGGCAGCCCCACGCTACCCTCTGGGGAAGCCAGGACTCCCCAGAGCGCAGAGCTGAGCTCACCCACGCTGACCCTGCCACTGGCTCCACCTGTCTCTGTCCCAGGGGAGCCTTGTGAGCCTGGAGGTGGCCTCCCAAATTGTCCTCGCCTGACCCCGGGCTGTCAGATGCAGAGGCTGAGCTCCTGACGGACGGAGCACTTGCGGCACTGCACCACGCAGCACCAGTGGAAGCGGCAAAGGCAGTTCTCCTCCAGCACCACCGTCTCGTCCCGGTGCCCTCTCCCGCAGCACAGCAGGTCGCAGCCACTCGTGTCCATGGCTGTGCTGTTGCAGACACGGCCCCTGGTACCCAGCGAGCCTGTCTTACGATTAGCCGAGCAGAAATCAGGTGAGTCGGCCGAGTAGATGAGGTCCTGTTTATCGGGAGGCTTGATGTTGTCACCCACAGGGATGAGCGTTTTCCCGTCGTTGCCTCCCATCACCTTGAAAGCCCCATTGAAGCGCTCGAGCAGGCGGTCCCCCACCTCTCGGAAATGGGGCATCTTCCTCCAGCAGGTCCGCAGGGTGCAGGAGCCCGACAGCCCGTGGCATTTGCACTCTGTCCTCATGTAGCTGCGCACCGCCTGAGGAAGAGACAGCGACGCTCAGCCCTCGGGTCCCTCTCTCGCTGCCCAGCGCCCCCAGGCAGAACCCTGCCCCTCTTGGTGCTGCCCTGGCCCGGGGGAGGGGCCGGGGGCGGACAGTGGCCCGGAGGTTTCCGGTTATCCTGCAAAGGATGCCCAAAAGATATTGGGTGATATTTCAGCCAAAGCTGGTGCAGGTACCTGGCTTGGGGACACTGAAGGTGGAGGGCTGGGCAGGGCACAAGGGGTGCAGGGGACAGGGAGCGCAGTGGCCTTACCAAGCGCCCGGCTTCGTTATTGTGCAGGTCGATAAGAGCTCGGATGTCATTTTTGCCTTTCTTGTTCTTGGCATCCATGAACTGCTGGGATTTCTCGTAGCCAAACTGCACATCATCCCCACAGCCCCCCCACTCCCAGGCGGTGCCCTCTGTGCCTGGCCCCACTGTGGGCGAGGGGGGGGCCCGGCTCCGTGTCAGCTCGCAGCCACACTGCAGCAGCTCGCCCATGCTGCAGGCCTGCGTGATGGCGTGGCTCACTCCAGCCGCCGTGATGGCGTACACGAAGGCTGTTTCGCGGATATCTGCAGGAGAACGGATAGAGCCAGGGTGTGGGGTCAGCTCCACCAAGCAAGGCACCACCCCCTGGCTGACATACCAGGGGCTCGGACTCCCCGTTCCCTATCCTCATATGTGTCGGGTGCTGTTCCCTGGCTGATACACCCACCCTGGAATGGGCTGCCTGGAGCAGGAGTTGCCTCTTGCAAGCAGATTTGAAAACTCTGGGGGATGGTCAGGACCTCCTGCACTCAGCTGTGGAGAGGCAACCAATCTCCCATCTCTTCTTGCAAGTCTGGGTGCTGCCCCATGGGAAAGAGGGAAGCTCAGAGAGCAGAGGGTGGTCCCACACGACCAGGTGGTACCCACAGCTTCCTCACACTACCCTGCAATATCCCTCCACACAGTAAAAATCCCAACCCCAGCTCCAAACTGGCACCTGGAAACAAACAGTGAGAAGGATACCAAGGGTGCCACTCACCCTCTGCATGGTGGCAGTGATGAAGCTGTGCTGTCTGCTCTCCCCCCACTACCCTCTTTGCCATGGGGAGCTGCCCACCCCCCTCTCTCCACCGGCACAGCCTCCACCCTGCAGGATTATTTATTATTAGTATTTGCTCCTGTCTCTCTCTGCTCCGGGACACGAATTCCAAGCATCTTTCCCCTGCCCGGACCTGCCGCTCGCAGCCGCAGCCAGCGGGGGATTCTGGCAGCAGGGGTGCGGCGCCCTGCTCGGGGGGCTCCTGCGCTCCCCCCGCTCCATGCCAGCCCAGCTCCTGCCCGCCCAAATGCCAGGGCAGGGCTGGCTCGGGCTGGTGGCCTGCAGGGGATTCCTGGGGAGGGAGGGGAAGGTGGGGTTTGGGGGTGTCCCATCCCTCCATCTTCAGTATTCTGATTTGGGGAGGCTGCAGGAAGAGGGATACCAGGGCATCGGTTCCATGAGCAGCTCCTCCAAAAGCCCACGCAGCACCTGCCTCCCTCTGGTTTTAGCAGGAACTGGGCACACCAGTGCCTTTCTGGCAGTGCCACCAAGGGGGTAGCACCCCCTCCCCAGGCCCTCCTGTCCCTGCAAGCCACCCGCCCACCCGCCTGCTCCTACCTGGGGCTGGCAGAACCCTCAGCAGGCAGCCCAAAGCTGGCAGAGGTCCCCATGCCACCCTGCCAGCTGGGCCCTGGGGGATGTTGCTCCTCTGACAGTTCCTCCAGACACGTGGCTGCCCCCAAGCCAGACTACCCTGGCATGCCACACCTGGCACAGGTGGCAGGGAGGGAAGAGGGGACAGCCATGACTGTGCCAGGAAGGCTAGGCCAGGAATGAGAGGTTTGCAGCATCTTTGGATAGAAAAGGATATTGGATGGAAGGTGTTCATCTAATGGAGCTAGGAACCCCAAAAATGCTGAGATATTTTGTGCAGCCCCTGCAGGCTTACAGGGAGGCTGCTGCCTGCTGACACCTCTGAGGACTTCTGACACCCACCTTGTTACCCTGGGGAACTCCTAGCTGGGGTGTCCCATGTCCTCAGAGTGCCAGGGACTCAAACTCACCACTGTCCCTACGATATTGTTTATCTCTACCACCCCAGCAGTGAGGCTGGACCAATGTGGTGGCTCCTTCAGCATCCCTATGCTTGATGTGTCTGTGCCTCCTCCAACGTAAGCTGTTCCTGGGTACCCAGCAGCTCATCTGCCAGCACCTTTCACTCACCACCTGGTATGGCCCTGCATTCTGGCACCACCCCACTACCAGAGCAGATCCCTGCCTGGCACAGATCCCACCTGCTTCACTGCCAGTTTATGTTGAAAATGGGTGACTCCAGAGGCAGGAAAGTCCCCCGTGTGCTCTGAATCACCGCCTCTTAATTGAATTCACCCCCCTGTGTTGGGGGAAACCCACATCTGCAAATCTGAGCCTATCCCCCTCCCATGGGCCAGTGTTTCCCTCAAGGCTTCAGCTCTGTCCCCCACTAATATCTGCAGTCTATTGGGTGCCCAGGGCACCCCTCCCTCTCCAATCCCCCCAGGGATGACACCTTGACGCCCCTAGCATGTCCCATGGACTTATCCTCTTTGCCTTGTGCTGGCCATGTACCAGCAGATGTGGTGGCTGAGGAGTCTGGGGCTTGCTCCAGCTTCTTCATCTGCCACAGCACAGGGACCAACATGGGGAGAGGGGCAGGACTGAACTCACCTCCCACTAAGTGATCCTACCAGCCCAAGGTGTTTCAAACAACCCCTCTTGCTTGGAGTACCATCCACTCTCAGCTGCTCTCCCTGAGGAATGCAGCAGGGCTTTTCCATCCCTTAAACACTCATGGGTGCCCCCTTGCTCTGCTCCTGCTCTGATTTTGATGCAGCTGGACCTGGCTTGGAACGCTGTATCCACTGTCTGAGACCTGCACATACCTTCCTGCCCCCCATCCCTGTTCCTCAGTGACATCAGGGTGTCCATCCAGGGACAGGGACAGGGACAGGGACAGGAGACAAACACTCCTCTCCTCCGCTCCCTGCAAAGCCAGAAGGAGGGATGTGAAGGGCACCCACGGGGTAAGGGGCAGCTCCCGACGGCTCCCAACACTGCCTCCCAGCCGGGCCCCTTCCCACAGCACACCCTGGGGTCCCGGGGGAGCAGTAAATCACTGCCAGACGAGGGTGCATTCTTGGGCTTCATGAAGCCCCGCACTGTCTGGGAGCATTGGTAATTGCTTCATTACAACACAGGGAGACATGTCCCGGCAGTAAAACCTCAGCGTGACTGCACCGGGGAGCACTGAGCAACCCCCTACACGCACACACACACACACACATAGCTTTGCACGCCAAGACTCTGCTCCAGGAGTCCCAGGGAGGTGCTTCACCAGGCTGGGGTCTTTTTGGGAAATGGGAAGCTGAGGAAGCACTGGCCTTACCCTGCTGCAGGATCTTGCCGAAGTACTTGCTGTGGCTGGTGCAGTTCCAGCGGCGGAAGCGGAATTGGTACTGGCACTCCCGGACGCCCAGCTTGGTGCCCTTGGCCACCTCTTGCACGATCTCTGGCTCCAGCTGGCACAGCTCTGCCTGCTTCCCCGCCAGCCGCTTCGTCTTGCGGCAGATGCTGTTGGGGTCCATGACCAGGGGGCTCCCCACTGCCCTGCAGGAGGGGACAGCGAGCAGAGCAAAACCAGCACCCAAGCCCAGGAGAGACCAGAGTGTGGATAGGACACGACCAGACCCACCCCCAGGGATGGAGCAAGGCTGCGGGGTAGTGCCAGCTCCGTGCTGAGCCCGGGTGACAAGGGGACAGAGAGACATATGCAGTGGGGGCAGGACAATAGGTATGGGTGGCTCACCCAGGCAATATCTTGCCCTGTCCATCCATTGGGGAATGGGGAAGATCTCCTGCCATGGGACAGGCTATAGGATGATGCTGGCATGATGATCCTTGGGGACATCTATGGGGATGATTGTGGTGTCCCCACGGGAGGTGACAGAAATACTGTGCTAGGCAGCATCTGCTCTTTGGGGCTGGCACTGACCTAATCCAGCCTGGCATTGCCATGTGACCGAGGCCCGATGCAGCTGCGTCTCCCAGAGCTGTGGACACAACAAGGAGCCCAGCCAGCATTCTTGGTGTGTCTCCCCCTCTCCACGGGTTCTCGCTGCTTTACCCCGTGGGAGACTAGATGAGTGACCTTGTCTCTGATAAAGCCCCTCGGCTGCTGGCCAGGATCCTGTACTCACCTCCCCAAATCCAGGCACTGACTCCAGGGAACGGAGCTGCAGGCGGGTGCGGGAGTGCAAGGGAGGGATGCAGGTGGCATTGCCAGCTTTGCCAATGCCAGTGAGGGAGGGCAAGTCTTGGCTGGGCCCACGTCAGAGGCAGCTCCTCCTTGCCAGCACAGCTGGAGTGAGGTGCCTGACTCCCTGGCCCTGAGGGCAAAGTCTGAACACAACGCTGTGCTCCCCGGTGTGCCATGGGCTACAGAAACTCCTGTACTTTCCCCACAGATTTTGCCCGGAGTGCCCTCCACGGCCCAGCTCGCGCAGCGTGCCGGCACCCTGCCTCGTGCTGGCACGGGCAGTGCTCAGCTCTGCCACGGGCAGCTCCACAGCCATGGGCCACACGGGTTTAGCACACCCTAAACTCAGCCCACCCTTGCCTCCAGCGCTGCTCCTGTGCGCTCAGAGATCATCCTGCTCAACAGCATGATTTTCATGGCCATGGATGCCCACAGAACCTCAGGGCTGGACCCAGCATACCCCAGAATCAGGACATGCCTGATGATTGGGAGGTTACATTCCCTGGGATTCCCTGGGGAGCAGTGCTTGGGCGGCCCGTGCTGCCTTCAGCCCCACTCACTGGAGAGCATTAGCTGCACGGCTTCCAAACCCAGAGCTTTATAGTCTGGCCAAGCCCCAGGGGCTCGAAAATCACAAGCTGAATCTCAGTGTTTAACTGTGCTCTGGGTTTCCTTTTCACTCTTGTGCAGCTGGGGGGTTGTGTTTGGGACACCAGGCTGCAGTACTCTGCTTGCAATCCTGTCCCCAGTGCAAACCCCCTCCAAGCCCCTTGTTTGAAGCTCAAAGCCCTGCCAAGATCCCCCTGATTCATGTCAGCTCCCCAGCTGCCTGGATCTCCTGCCTACCAGTCCCCAGCTGGATTTGGAGAGGATGTGCCCACTCGCATAGCCCAGAAAAGGAGCCCTTGTGCTTTGGCTGGAGGTTTAAAGGTTAAACAGCTCAACAGAGAAACATAGCCTGGAAAGGGAACTTCCAGCCAGGAAACTGAGGCAAGCCCATACTCCTGCTGGAGAAAACCCATCTCCCTTTGCTCCCAGCAGTTCAGCTTCCCTTTTCTGCATTATTCACATGGACCTCTACAAAGGGATGGGGCAGCTAGGGAAGCAGAGCTTGCCTGCCACAGGTCCTCCATAGATGGGGAAACTGAGGCCCAGGTGGAAAGTGACCAGAAAATCTGTCCAGACCCATCCCATGATGACCACACAGGGATCCACGCCTCCATGGTGGTCTCCAAGTTCTCTGTCCTTTGTGACCATGGGCTCCCCACATCTACAGCAGGATGGTGGAGGTTTGGCTGCCTCCACCAGGGGAGTGGGGAAGAGGGGGAGCCGAGATGGGACTTTCATTAAGAGACGACTCTTTGTACTCATATGAAAACGATGCGCCAGCCCCCCGGGGCCGTCAGATCAAATACTGAACTGCGGCTCACCCCAGCCCGCTGGATCAGGCCAGGAAGAAGAGCTCAGCCCCGCGGGTCTGGGGGTGATGGGCGGCTCACCGGCACCGCGGGGGTCCCCACCCATGGTCCAGGCGGCAGCAAGGCTGGCGGAGAGCGCGGGAGATTTCTGTCCATGCCGACGAGGCGTGGGGTGGGCTGCCTAAGTCCAAAGCGATATTAATTTCCGCTGGGCTCCACTTTCTGGCACAGGGAGGCTGCCGGGAGCCCAAGAGCTGTTTTGCTTTGGAGGGTTTAGAGGGGGGGGAGAATGGGGGGGAGACAAGGGCAAGAAAAATGCTGCCAAACTGCTACCACTTTGGCAAGGGCTCCGGCGCAGGGCCCAGATCTGCCTGAGCTTGTCCCGCTCCAAGGCCTCCCGCATCTACAATTAAGGTGCCCCACCTCTGCTGCCGGGCACTCCTCCCCCTGCCCTGGTGAAGGAACAGGGTCGCCAGCCCGGCTCCCCGCAACTCGCCTGGGGCACCCCGGCCCCCTGCCGCCTCCTGCCTGGGAGCCCCCAGCCAGGCTCAGCAGCACAGCAGCATCCCTGCCACCTGCCCCTGGTGCCCTTTGCTGGCTGCTAGAACTGCTGCTGGAGGGCTCTGCCTTGCCCCAAAAGCCAATGGGATGATGAGCTGCATTATCCAACCTCTCAGCATCCCTGTGTAAGGGAAACAACCCCCATTGCTGAAAGAGGAGACTGAGACAGAAAAGGGGCTGCAAACCACTGCCCACCTGCTGCTGTCATCCCTTAGGCTGCCAGAGCCACAGGCTGAGCCCAGTCCCAGTGACGCACATCAAACAGGAGTCACCAGGGCTTCTGATGCAACCCCTGTGCTCTGGATGCTGTGCCTGCTGCAACAGAGACAGGGCTTCCTGAGAGCCATAATCACCATTTTTTCCCAGCTCAGCTCATGGTCATGGAGCTTCCAGTATGTCCCGGTCTCATTCTCAGCCAAAATGGACTAAGGAGCCTGGAGCAAGTCATAATCTTCTCCTTGGGCATGGGGATGATGTGGAGCAGGACATCTGGGCCCTGCCAGCAGACCATTGTGGACTGGGGTCCTGGTTTGCAGGAAGCCAAGGGAGTGAGGCTGAGTGAGTGAGAAGGAGGATAGTCAGCTTTCGAAAGTCACACCTGCAGGAGAGCAGTGGTTGGGGCATGCCAGATCCATGTGGGATCTGACAGGCCTGCACCCATTGAGTCCTGCTGCTTGGACACTCCTGTGGGGCAAGGGGACTCAGCTCTAGGGTAGTAAGGTTGTGTTTTGCCTTGCATACAGGTCTCTATCCCAGCCTCTGGAAGCCTCCAGCAGGGTGATGCACAGTACTAGGGTACCCAGGTCATTACTCTGAGCCCACAGGTAATTCTGCATCCACCTGAAGAGGTAAGAACTGCAGGATGACATCCCTGGAGAACAGACATCCATCCCTGGGGACATTGGCCACTTCACGCCCCACACAATGATGTCACACTGCATGACAGCCTACAAGTCAAACCCAAAGGGAGCCCGTCTCTTTCCAAGCTGTGCAAACAGTGCAAGGGGGACCCACAGAAGAATTTGCACCCATCCAGCTTTCCTACAGCCCATGCAGGCATGTGGCAGGCACTCAGCCCCTCACCCCGGGCCATGCGTGGGTGCTGCCACTAGCGGGGCAGCTGGGTGTGGAAACAGAGCAGGAGGCCCAGGAAGGTGTGGTGAGTAAGCAGCAAGTCACTGCCTGGGGGGCACGGCCAGGGCTTGGCTGCCGAGCAGTGCCCGGGGCACTGAGGGAACAGGAAATGCCACAGGTTGGGAAGAGAAGGGGGACCCCCATTTCCTGCCTTCCTTCTTACATCTCCTTGGCAAGGATGGCATGCAAACAGCTGGGAAGCTGCCTAAAGGATAGAGGCTTTGGCATGGCATTGCATCAACCCATGGACCTGCTAGCTGCAGGGTCATGCTGGGGCCAGGCTGTGATGAACAGGAGCTGCCCAAACTTGTGCTGCAGGTACTGGGGGGATGGAGGGAGCATTCACCTGTAGAGGTGGTGGTCCTGAAGCTATCTCCAAACCCTGGAAGGGCTGAGATAAAAAGAAATAAGTCCACTCACTTGTGGTCACTGAGTCCTTCTTCTGGGTGCTGAAAGAGCCTGGAGCTGGGGTAGCACAAGGGTTTGGCTAGTTCATGCCCAAATGTGAGTGCCACTTGTTGTGGGAGGACCCTGCAAACTGAGGAGATGTCAGGGTGTGCCCAGTACCCTCCTGCACGAGGGGGGTTTGAAGTGCTCAAGGTTCTGATGCAAATGCCAGACAAAACCTCCAGTTGGAAGCATGTGCACGGCATGGCCAGGGAGCCTGGGTGTCACCATGGGAAAGTGGATGTGACCAGGAGCAGGGACAAGGGATAGCACTGGGGAAAGTTCAGCTGTGGGAGAAAACAAGTAGCCCAATGCTGGAGCCAGTAGTCATCTCAAAGGGTGCAAGAGTTCTGCCCAAATGGTGCTCCTCCAGGGGAGAAGGCATGCTGGGGAAGGCTGGGCAGCCCGGTCTGTTGGGTGCTGTGGGCTAGCAGCTGTGGGTCAGCAAAGCCAGGGGCTGACTCACAGGGCTCACCCCAAGGCACGCAGGCAGGGCCCTCCAGCCCAGCAGCCTGCCCTCACAGGCTCTGGCCTTGCAGGGACGGTGCTGGTCAGGGCAGCAAAAGAGGAAACCACTGTTGGGGGTGGGGGGGTCACACAGGGTGTGTGGCTTGAGGGACATGGGACTGGGACCCCGTCAAACAAGGGTACAGCCACAGGGGCTGGTGGGAGAGGTTCTTTCTGAGCACCTCTGAAGAAAAGCTGGAGGTGCACTGCCCTTGTGGATGGATGGGAAGGGCACAGAGGGCAGGTGTCCATCCCCCTGGGCCCCCTCAGACCACAGCTGGAGCAGAGCACATTTCAGCTGGGATGATTTTTTCCCTTGCTTTCTCTGCCATCTCCCAGCTGCTCTCAGCCATGCCCGTGGAGAGCCAAGAGGCACCAGGGAAGCTGGTTTTGCTTGCCCCCATCCCCAGAGTGCCTCTGCACTCCTGCAGGCACAGCCCGACTGCAAACCGGCTTGGCTGAAATCCTGCCCTGAACCCGCCTGGGGCTCCTCAGACACTGAGTGTGCCTGCTCTGTATCTCTGCAGCCTCTGGGCCAGCCCAGGAGCCCCAGGCAGTCCCTACCTGTCCTGCTCAGGGAGAAATCACTGTTGCACAAGGATCTGAGCAAGAAATCTGTAAAGAATAGGGGAGGAGGAAGAAAGAGGCTTTACAGAGCTGATGGGAGCAAGGGAAGCCTATTCCCTGCAGCTTGGCACTAACCAAAGAGCCAGCAGTACGTGAGTGACATATCTTCCATTGGTACTGACCACAGCCTGCTCCCTTTTGCCATGGAAAGGGCTGTGTCTTCAGTGACTCTCTGAGGACATCCTAACACAATGAGGATGCTCTTTCTCAAGGTGCATTGTCACCAGCAGGATGTCAGTGCTTGTACATCATACCTAAATCTTTTTCCATAGATGCAGCCGTGTGCCAGGATCCCAATGGGCACAGTTACCACCTGTGAGTGGCCAGGCCTGGCTGTTTGCCTGGGCTGGGACTGTGCCTCTTGAGATCCAGCCCAGCTACAGCTCACCACACCTCTCTCAGAAATTGGATCGTCAGTGCGAGAAAAAGCTGGCTTAAATGGGCACACAGATAATGCACTCAGGGGTGGGATGGGGGTGTTGTAAAGACATTTCTTTCTTGGCCAGAGGAAAATGCCCCTTTGGCTAAGCACCCACAGTGCCCAGTGATGCACATACAAAGGTGTGCCACCAAAGTCCTCTTCATCAGTGACAGTGACAGCAAGGAACAGTTCTATCAATGCCACCAGTCCTGGGGCTTCCAGGAACTCTGGCACAACACAGCTGCTCCCCTGAAGCCCTCCCCACCAACAGCAAAACCCACAGACACCAGTGCTACCCAGACCTGGGAGAGGGACCAGTACCAGGAGTAGGCACATGGGAAAATGCCTGTCATGAGTGGCCAGACTCCTCTGCCCCACACAGGAAGAGCTCCCTGAGATGATCTCAGCCAGGGGCCAAAACACCAAACTCTGAGAGAAGCAGTTCATTAATTACCCAGCTGCTCCTATGCCCTCTCCTGGGAAGCCTGGCACATCCGTTTGGTGGTGCTGGTGGCCTCATTTACCCACCAACTCTTCCCAGCTCTCTGGCTCCAGAGTGAAGAAGAGTGTGAGCTGGTGATTCACCTGAAGCCACTCCACTGCCCGGTGCATTCACCGTGCATCAGGCAGCTGAGTTATTATTCTTAAAATAAAGGTCCCTTTTCTTCTTCTTTTTTTTAAAGAAGAAAAAACAAGTTTGACCCCTTGCCCTCCCCTGACAAATCCTGCTAATCTCCTGAAGTCACTGCTGCCTGTGCACACATGGCACCAGCAGGACCCAGACTCCACGGTGAGATGCAGTTCTGAGCACCTGGGGCAAGGGGCACCGGTACCCCAGCACCCTGCCCTGGCTGGTGCTGTCTGCCTGCCCCTGAAATGAAGGCAAAATGAGCTTCTGCTTCAACCTTTGCCTGCTCCTGTCATGGGCAGATGTCCTCAAAGCTGGAGCACAGGGCATGAGCTTGGAGATATTGATGAGGATGGGGCAGAGAAAGCATGGACAGCTGTGTGTGTGTTTGAGAATTAGCCAGGGGAAAACAGCAGGTCTCAGGCAGCAGGAGGGCATATGCCCTGCAATGGCACAGCTACCCTGAGGTGGGTGGTACGGAGCATGGAGACCCTCCATAAGCACCCTGCTTTGGCCAGGGCTTGCCCTACCTCAGTCTCCCCTTTTCTAGCAAAAAAACCCAAGGCAAGTTCCTCTCAGCCCCATGCTAAACCCTTGCCTGGCAATAAACAAAGCACTTGGGCTCCAGGGACAAACTCTCAGCTGATGTACAACTGACTGTAACAGCACAACTTATACTCACAAAGACCCCCAGTGCAGCCCTGGAGCCAGGGCTAGCAAAGGGAATGGAGATGTGGAATAAATCACTGGTGGGCAGGCAGGGGACTGTGAGGGGAAAGGCTTACGGAGAGCTTTATTTTAGGGGTCAAAAGAGTGTGACAATGTGGAGACGAATAGCCTCAGATAATGAATGATAGCCCGGACGGCACGCCGGGGAGCTGGAATCTAAGCACTTAAAACCGGATAAAGACAGGCTGGGTGAAATTCTTAATAGATTTAAATAGTTCATGTTTCGACAGATACCTGGGCTTTCCAAGGCTGGGTCCCAGTTCTGTGCCTGTAATGAATCCCCCACCCCCTCTGGTATCCTGCAAGGCACCGTCTCTGCCTTTGATGAGGGCACCATTACAAATAGGGGTTTTGTCCCTGCTGTGTCCAGGCCACCATACAGGGGGGACACTGTAGGGACCCTAAGGCTTTTAATTAAATTTGACTTATTGAAGGGGTCTGGAAGCCACTAAGCCCTCTTGCCCACCCCTCAGGCATACAAGTCTCCCAGGCAGTGGGCCGGGGGTGCAGGGAGGCAAAGTGCAACTCTCGCCACAGGACCTGTGCACCCTATACTCCTGGAGATCCCCCAGCTTACTGCCTCCAGCACAGTTGTGTCCCCAAACCCTATATATGGGTGCCCGGTCTGGATCAGAACAGCCAGTGAGTAACATTTCCAACCCAAGTGGTGCCTGGGTGTAGGGGAATCTTTTGTCCCCAAGCCGGGGTGGGGGGAACCACCCCCGGAGATCGAGATGCCCTGCGTGCCCTCCTGCTTTTCCACCCCCCCGCCGGGATGTCCTACTCACCACCAGAGCCCGATGATGTTAGCGGGGCAGAGGAGGATGAAGAAGAGCCCCAGCTGGGTCCGGGAGGAGGGCAGCATCCTGCCAGGACTGAGGAAAGAGTCGAACTCGCCCCACGCCGGGAGCCGGGCACCGCCGAGGTCCGGCCGGGGCCCCGGCGGTGGGTGCCCGCTGTCTGCCTCCGCCGGGCCGGGCCGGGCAGGCAGCGCGGCCGGCGGGGCCGTCCGGGCCGGGCTGGGCTGGGCTGGGCTGGGCAGGCACCTCCGGGCGGCTGGAGCGCGGCGCGGAGGCTGCTCCGGAGAAGGAGGAGGGACGGGGCTGCGAAAGCATCTGCTCCGACTGGGAAACCGGAGCCCGGGGGACGGACAGGGCGGGCCGGGCGGGGGGACTCCCGGGTGCCAGGCTCCGTTCCCAGCGCAGAGGCACGGACGCGATGTGGGCACAGGCACCCACCGGTAGAGGACCGTGGCCGCAGCCGGTCTGGCCCCGCGTCCCGCCGCCGCGTTTGAGTGTTCAGCCCTTTTTGCGGATCTGGCTGGCACAGCCCTGCCCCCGAAGCCCCGGGACCTGCTGCGGACCTGCTTGGCACGGACCTGCCTGCCAGAGCCCTGCTTGGCACAGCCCTGCCCGGCACAGCCCTGCCCGGCTGCACTCGGGGTCCTGCCGCAGCCCTGTCAAGCCCTACCTGGCCTCGAGGTGTCCCCGACACCTTCCTGTCACACTCTTGCCCGACCCTGACACCCAAACCTGGCGTTCCTGTGTTGCCCCCAGCACAGCCCTGCCTGGCCCCTGTCCCTGACTGGGCTCGCCTGGCACAACCCTGGCTCCATAACCCTTCCTGTCCTCAGTCCAGTCTGTCCCACCTGGGAAAGCTGGAGCAGTGACCCCTCACAAGCATCTCCCAACACTTAGCCCAAACACCCTGGAGAGACACGCCTGAGCCAGAGGGACACACAGGAGAATGACTGAGCCACCCTAGGAGCAAGGAGCACCAGGAGAAGAGTGTGGTGAGGGACATCTTGTTTACGGTGATTTCATTTCAGGTAGAGCCAGGCCCCAGAATGGACACAGTCCCCAGCACCAGATCATAACAGGAGGAGCAGCAGGAGCTGCCTGGGGCAGGAGGAAGCTGACATGCCCAGAATGTAGCAGGGGGCCACACAAGGGCTGTGCAGTTGGGGACAGGAGGAGCCCATAGCCTGCCACACAAATGCTTCCCACAGAGGAGACTCAGGAATGGTTTTCCAGTGCTCAGTCCACTGCTCTGCATCTCTGATTCCTCTTGTATCATTTATGAAACCCAGCAGAGTTTGGGGATACAGCTCCCAGCCCTGCAGCATCAGAGCCATGGATCCTGGGAGAGGATCTACCCTGGGGGAGTCTCACCTGATCTCTGTACCCAGCTCCACTGAGCAAACAGCCAGCCCACTGGGTTAGCCCAAGGGAAAAGGAGGTGTCTTCCACTCATGATGGGCAAAGCAGAGCACTCCTGCTGCTGGTGAGACCACCCCTCCCTCCAGCAGCTATCTGTTCTCTGTCCCCTTCATGGCCTCCCATACCCTGCCCATCTGAAGCCCCTGGCTTGCCCATAACTGTTCTCCTTGCCTTGATCACCAGCAGTTTCATCCCTTCACCTGGGCATGTCTGTTCCCTGCTAACAGCATTCGGTGGTGAACGACTCAGGCTTTATCTGCAGCTTGGCACAATTCTCTCCCTCCTGGGCACAAGAGGTAAGAGACTCCCACCACCTCTGGAGGATTCACACCTGCTCTTTCTCTGCCCTCCCACACAGGAAATGGGCTCCTGATCTGCACCCTTGGTATGGTGACATGGACTAAGCTGTCCTGGCCACAGCATGGGGACATGGGGACACAGGGACACCGGCTCAGTCCCTGATCTGGGCACTGCATCTGGGCTGCTGCACCATGCCCCGTCCCTGTTGCCTTTTGCCTTCACCCACCAGTCTCCATGCTAGCTGTCCTACAGGGACCCCGGCACCTCTAATCTAGGGGGATAGTCTGCAACGAGTAGTTCGGGGAGCGGGGACATCTCTGCTGAGGCTGGGCGAGGCTGACGCTGGACCCAGGGGCCCAGCCCCTGCCGGCAGAGCTCCCTGCGATGCGCGGCTCATCTGCCGCTGTGTTGAAAGTGCCTGTTGTCCCTCCGCCCCTAGCGCCTGGCCTCCTCGCAAAGGCAGCGCGGGGCAGGTGAGAAGCCTTTATCTGATTTCCTAAGGGCAGAAAAATCCCTTTGATTTTGCCCCGAAGAGGGGAGCGGGGGGTGGGGGTGCCGTCTCGGCGAGCAGGTGCGGCTGGTGCTCAGCAGCTCGCCTTATCATGTCAGCTCTGCGTGAGGCTGGAGGGGCCAGGGGGGTGCGGAGCCCTCAGCACACGCACGGCAACTGGCCCCACTGCCTGGCTCCCGTGGCAAAGCCCCCTTAGAGGGGCTGGTGGGGCAGAGTGCACAAAGGTGGGCTCCTTGCCTTGTGTCTGGATCAGAAGAGCTGGAATGGGGTGTATGCCAGGAGTTTGCCCCTATTTCGCAGCTTTTCTCACGACTGCATAAAAATTCTCCTTTAGCAAGGGGAAGCTGAGGCACAGAGATGCTGAGACCTGCTTAGGCAGGTGGGGAGTGGTTGCCTGTTCGCTCAGGTCCAGTAATTTTCTTGCTGCCTTCCCTTCTGCAATAAGACCCAAAGGCCCACGTACTTCAGGGGACAAGGTGACAGTGGTCATACTAATCCAGGGTGACAGGGATGCCACTGCCACTCTGAAGCAGCCTGCACCATCGCAGCTGATCCTTTGTCTCTGCCTTTCCTTGCCTCTCGCAGCTCACTTCCCCCCCCCCCCGCCCCGGCTTTTGTGTTATTACAAATTATAAAACAATTTTTTCCTGCCGTCCCGCATTCTTCTGCCTCCTGCAAGAATTTTAATGTATTTATTTTTGCTATCAGGGGAAAGCGCCGTGTTCCTCGGCCACCCCCAGGCAGCCCCGGCCCCACTTGGCCACTGATGGAAATTAATGATGGAGGATGCAGGGGGAGAGCCGACACCCCTGCACCCCTGCAGCAGAGAGGTGGGGGGACGGGTGCCCCCCCAACCAGACATGTTTTTCCCAGGGGCAAGGTCTGCAGAGGAGAGAGAACTCAGCTGTGGTAGGGGTTATGGGACAGAGGGGTTGGTCCCCAGGAAAAGTTGTTGGATATGGGCTGGGGAGGGGATAGTTATTGGGTGGCTGCGCCAGGCCAAGAGGTGCTTTGAAGATCAGCTTTGAGGGTGTTGTGTTGGAGAATCATCCCCATATAGCAGCAGGACTTTGAAGTCCTCTTGAGGAAGAGGAGACCTCCCCAGGACTCCAGCTCACTCTGCCTCTTGTGACAGCATCCCCAGTGGTCCCCAGCCTGCTTGTGAGACAAAGCATCCCCTGAGTGGCCCATCCTGCACCCCCCACTGAACTCCCTCTGCCTCTAGGCTGGTGCCCTGATACTGTGCTGAGCTCTGTCTCTCATTCCCAGCCAGGCAGCCCCAAGGGCAGGGATGGGGGTGCCCTGCTCCAACAGCCCTCCTACCCGACAGCCACAAGGCTGGGGGGGTGGGTCTGGCTGCTGGGAGGGAGCGGACAGGGGAGGAAGTAATGGGCCTTTCCCGCTGTGGGGAGAGCGTGGCGATTTCCAACCCAAACACCCCGGCGCTCAGCGGCCGCATACTTTCCCAGCGTCCCTCCCCTCCTTTATTCCTGAGGACATTGGCAATCAAACCCACGTTGGCCTCATCCCCTGCTCCTGCAGTGAGGTCATCGAGCTGTGTTTGTGACATCCCGGCATTTCCATGGCAGCGCACTGTGATGTCATAAGCCTGGGTTGCGACCTCACGGCAGGAGGAGAATGATCTTATTAAAACAACACGGTCCCCATCCATGGCTGCTCACAGTCGGGAGACTCCAGTACAGGGTAGCAGCCAGCAGACAGGCCTGTGGCAGCCAGGGGGATGATGAGGATGGTGCCCTCCCTGGGGTTATGTCACCAGTGGGAAATGGTGATGACACAGGTCATGATCCAGTGCTCAAAGTGGAGGGTGGCCCCAGGGCTGAGCTCCCAGCTGATGCAAACACACAAGCCATGGTGCTGAAGTGACAGTGACTTTGGGGACAGCCATGCTAGAACTTACTCCTCAGGGTCCCCCAGGACTGGCCACAGTGCTGCCCACCTCTGGGACCAAGTGTCTGGGGCCTTATCGGGGTGCAGAGCCCTTTCATGTCAGGCTGGCGGACAGCAAGCAGAGCTGATGAGGACCTGTCCCAGATGAGAGCCGCCCGGTGCTGACAGCAGCTGTAGGGCCCATTCTTAAATTAGACAAGTCCCCCTCCCCCTGGCCAGCACTCCTGGCCCTGCCCCATGCCTGGACATAGCCTGGGATATCACAACCCACAGCACTTTGGGTGGTCAGCACAACCCATACACACATGTGCACACACCTGTCAGCACACACCATATCCTGGGAGGGCTAGTCATCCCTTGGGCACTGACAGGCGGGAGAGGCAGGGATGGATGGATGGATGGATGGATGGATGGATGGATGGATGGATGGATGGGTAGGTGTGGGGCTGGATGGGAAGAGTAACATCAACATTTGTTGATGGATGGATGGATGAGTGTACGACAGCTCAGTAGATGGATAGAGAGATGGCTGTGAGAAAGCTACTTACAAGTGTGGATGGATGGATGGATGGATGGATGGATGGATGGATGGATGGATAGGAGAAAGGATGGCCCTAGCAGCAGTCTTTAGTGAGCCCACGTAACTCTGGACTTTGTTGTTCTTTCCAAACAACCTAAGTTTCACACAGCATCTGTCCTGGGAGAGAAGGGAACATCCACGTCCCAAGGGGAAATAATTTACCCTTCTTGCTGCACAACAATTTGAGGGCCCGACCTTGTGCTGCTGCAGCAGTGCACCGTCACTGCTAGCACAGAATCCACTCTCCACTGGCCAAAGAGGAAACTGAGGCCAAGGAAACTGGCTTGCAGAGCAACAAAGCTGAAACCACCCCTCTTCAGGGAGGCATGGGTCTGTGGCCAGTCCCACTCATTCCAGCTCCCCACACATCCATCTGTCCATCCATGGGAAGGACACGCATATCTGGGCTGCAAGCGATGCCGCTGTCCTTGGGCCCCTGCGGGCTGTAAACATGATGTCATGTGGCAGCATACACAGCCCGCTCTGTGCACGGGTCCCCGAATGGGCTTCGCAACTTCTGCGTGGGAGGCATCGACCGTGGCCCACAGCCAAGGGAACTGGAGTCAGGAGATAAAATCAGGTTTGCTTTAGGCTGGAGCAAATAGCCTTTTGCAGGAGGAGTAAGGGACAGGGAGAGCAGATGGAAAAGAGGAGACACCTCCCCGTCTTGGAGAGTTTGGCAAGTAGCAGAGGTGATGTGGGAAACTCCAGGAAAGCCCGGCACTGGTCTCGGGTCAGCTCCCTTTGCTCCTACTTGACTTAGAATAACTCCGTAGGCACTTGAAGTCACTAATCAGCCAGGACCACTTGAGAGCAGCCTGGGGCTGCCTCCCGTCTCCTGTGATAACAGCATGCCAGCCCCGGGTTCTCTCCGGCATCCCACTCTCACATCCTCGGGGAAAGGTCCTGGCCCAGCAGGGTCCCATGGGGCACAAAGCAGGGGGAGCCTGGATCAGAGCCTTCTGCCAGGTGCTGAGCCCTCGATGGTGGTCATGGGGGACACAGCATCATGCTGGTTGATTTGCTTCTTGTTTCAAAAGCTATGTGCTGCCCCCAGGCCTCTCCCCAGGTCTGAGGGGTCAGACATAGGGAAAGGAAGGGAAGGGGACCTTTGGGAGAGGGCTAAGAGGGTCTCACTTGAACTTTTTGTGTTGGAAAAGAGCAGCTGTCTCCAGACTTGGTATCTGTCCACATTCTTCTTGATCTCCCCATGTCCCCCTTTGCAGCCCCACTGGCCCCAGCATGGCTCATGACTCAGGCAGTGACAGTGTGGTGACACACAGTTGATGTAACAGGCTATCTCCAGTTCAGTGCTCTGGGCTGTTTACAGTCCTCAGGACCCAAGATCAGCCTTTTCACAGCCTGGGCTTTCCTGGGGATGATTCAAGGGATGCCCTCCCCTGGGACACCCCACTTCCTCCCCCTCCCATCTGGGAGAGCAAATCGGGGCCAGTGGATGCAACTCTGGGAAAGATTTCCAGCTCCTGGGTGACACTGTACAAGTCACACAAAGGAGCTGTCCCTCCCTCTGAGGAGGACCAGCCGCCAGAACCCTCCATAAGCAGTGTGTGGTGGATGGCTGAGGGGCAGAGAGGCGGGGGGTCACACAGTGCCTGTATGTGCACCCACAGCTCCCACCAGTGAGTGAGATGAGGTCAGACCTGACAATGGGTCTGTGGGATGAGTAAAGTCACAGCACCCCTGGGGCAAAGTGACGCACAGGATGTGACCTGCCACCCCAGCTCCACATCCCCACGGCTGAAGACAGCATTTGCTCTCCCGCCTCTGCTGCGCTTGTCGCCAAGCTGGACTGGCTCCGCACTGGGGGACCTCCCGGGAGCTGGCGGTATCCCCGCTCCACGCGGCGTCCTCCGGCCGCCGATGGGTCACGGCCCAGCCTGTTCCCTTCGGAAGTCCCCGCCGGGAGACTCTGAGAGGGGCTGATTCACCCAACCCTCCCGGCCCCCTTCAGCACGGCGTCCCCCACAACCCCGGCAGCGGCCCCGGCGGAGCCCCCGGCCGGTCCCGTCGGCGCTGCCGCCGTGCGAGGACGGGGAGCACAGCCTAGCGGCAGGAGCGGGAAGCAGCCGGGACAACGGTGCCCGCTCCGTGTCCCGAGCGGGTCGCCGGGCACCGGGAACCGGCCTGGGGGGTCGCTGCTGTGGTACAATCCGCCCTTCCACAAGGCCGAGTGCGAGGGCCTGAACACGGATCAGAGAGACCCTAATACCAGTTTTGTCTGAGGGAGGGAGGGATGGATGGATGGATGGATGGATGGATGGATGGATGGATGGATGGATGGATGGATGGATGGATGGAGAGCTGCCCTGCAGAGAAGGAGTCAGGGGCACTGGTGGATCAAAACCAGTAAATGAGCCGACAATGTGCACTTGCAGATCACATCTGAGACTGGAAAATAAGAAGCCTGCCCAGCAGGGCAGGGAAGGTTGTCACTCCTGCTCCACTCCACACTTGTGAGAACTCACTTGGAGTAGAGCAGCTCTGGGGTCCTCAGTGTAAGAGTCATGAACCTGCTGGAGCATGTTCAGTCAAGCCAGACAAGGCTACAAAATGATAGAGGGGTTGGAGCACCCCTCCCGTGAAGACAGGCTTGAGAGATTTTTGTAGTTCAGTCTGCAGAAGGCTCAGGAACATCTTATTGCAACCTCTCAATATACAAATGGGTTTATAAGAAAGATGAAGAGAGACCTTTTCCAGGAACTGTCATTTTCACTCTTTTTGCAGGAGGCAATTGTTTCAAACTGAAAGAGGTGACAGGGTTTCACTGCCCGGCAAGGGGAAGCACAATTACAGCAGGCATGGAGAGGCGAAGACATCCTCTGCCAGGGGGAGTGAGAGCTACAGGGTCTCAGTTTCTCAGGCTGGGAAGCTCACAGAAGTCCTCGGGCGGGGGCTCTCCTGCTGCATCGGCTCTGAACCCGGCCGAGGCAGGGCAAGCAACAGAGATGGCTGTGAGCAGCCATGAGATGGCAGCAGGCGCTCATTCTTGGCTGTCCCAGCCTGGGGTGCCTCAGGGGTGTCTACAGGCACGGGGGTGCCCGTGTCCTGCACCCCGGCCCCGGCCCCGCTGGCAGGGAACACATATAGCATCAGCTGGAGCCCAGCACGGGACACTGCCACTGCCCTGGTGAGACAGGACTGAGGGCAAGAACAGCCACTCACGGGACTCTCAGATACCTGCCCAGCCTCACGCAGCCTCTCTGCCCAGGACCTTGTACCCAATGCCCGATAAGAGGGGTTAATGATCAGCACTGGTGTCCCAGAGACACAGTGCCGGACACCCCTGGAGTGACACCTGGACAGATCACTGCCTCTCCTACTATCCCAGGCTGGCCAGAGCAGACATGTCCCTCATGCATGGTCTCAGACACCCAATAGGTTCCTGCTCATGGGCTGGACAGCTTGGCCTGCACCAGCTTGAGGCAGGAGCTGGCACCATTCTCTCCCTGGCATGAAAACATACCAAACCTCCCTCCAGTTTGTTGCCAGCAGCTGCAGTGGGCTTACCAAGGTCTCCCCTTCCGTGGCTGGCAGTGCCTGGAGGAAGTGTTGAGAGAGAGCCTGGGACAGTCTGGACCCAGGTCCCCACGGCACCATCCTGCACTGCTGGGGGACAAGGCAGACACAGGGGGCTGACAGGCAGGGAACAGAAGCAGGGCAGGAAGGCTCCGTCCAGGAGGGCAAGCAGACCTAAAGAGCAGGCCCAGTGGTGAACCTGGAACTGCTGCAAGGTGTGCAGGGTCTGGGATGTAGTACCCAGTGCCACAGTGCAGTGCCAGTGCTGGCACATGTGCCCTGGCTGGTGCTGTGCCCAGTCCTCGTGCCCGTGCCTGGTGTGCAATGCCTAGCACCCACTGCCTATGTGCAATGCCCAGGATACAGCACTAGGTGCCACAGGCTCCATTGTGCCAGGCTGTTGTGCCTGCCGTGCCGTGCCCTGCTGGCTGCCAGCTGCCTTGTGCATAGTTCCACCATGCACAACACCTGGCACCCAGTACCTGCTACATGGCACTGGTACCGTTGTTGCCCGTTCCAGTACCCAGCACCCGGTGCCTGGTCTGTGATGCTGCCGAGCAGTCACCAATGTCCAGGATTTGGAGTATGGCTCACGGTGCCCAATGTGCCGTACCGAGTACGTAGCACGCTGCAGCCGGTCTCCACGGCCCGGTAGAAGGTGTGCCGCAGCCGGCACAAGGCGCACGGTCTGGGCTGCCCCGTGCCCGGTCCCCGCTGAGCAGCAGCCGGTACCCCGCATCCAGGGCGCAGCAGCCGGGGCCGGTAGCCGTTGCGCAGCGCACCGGGTGCGCGATTCTCTATTCCCGGTGCGCGGTACCCGGTGCGCGATGCTCAGTCCCCGGTGCCGGTGCCCGGTCGCCGCCCCCGCGCCGCCCCCCGCGCCGCCCCCGGTGCCGCCCCCCACCACCCTCGGTGCCTCCCCGCCCCGCCCCGTCCCGTGCGCTGCCGACGGAGCATGGCGGGCCCGAGCAGCGGGGCCCGGTGGCCGCTGCTGCCGCTGCTCCTGCGCCCCCGCCCGCCGCCGCCGCGCAGCAGCCCGGGACCGCCGCGCAGGACCGGGGGCTCGGCGGCAGCGGCGGCGGGGCCGGCGCGGCTGAAGGGACCGGAGGAGCTACCGGGGCCGGGGCTGTTCCGTACTTTCGTCTGGCTGTTCCTGCGGGGCTACCTGCTGCACACGCACCGGCTGCAGGTGCGCCGGGGCAGCCCGGCCCGGGGCTGCGGGCGTGCGGGGGTCGGGCTGCGTGGGGGCCTGGCGACCCTGCACGGGGGCGCAGGTGGGGGGGAGGGTAAGGAGGGCTGCGTGGGATGGAGGGGCTTCCGGGGGGGCTGCAGGGAGGGTGCTGTGCCGGAAGGGGCTTTGCACTGGAGGGAGTGGGTGCGGGCTGGGGACAAGGGGAGATGGGCTCCAGGGAGGGGGTTAGCTGCCGACGAGTGGCGGCCGGGAGCTGAGCGGGGGCGGCAGAGCATGGGAGCAGAGGGGCTTGGCGGTGTGGGGCACCCGGCACCGTAGAGCGATGCTGGGGCCAGTAGGCAGAGAGGGGCCAGCAAAACCGAGTGACCTCGAGAGGGTCCACCCAGCCCTGGGCTGCTCCAGCATCCCCGAGCCGGCCAGGCAGCTGAGGGCAAAGGTTCGGGGGCATCTCACAGGATCCTGGCATCCCTGGGCTCCCGGCTGTGACAGCTGGAGGGAGCAGCAGTTTTGGGTGCAAGTGACTGGGCAGGTTTTTGGGCAGATGATACCAAGGCAGGGGAGGGGTAGACAGAGGTATTTGTTTTCGTCTGTCAACACTTCCTCATACGTCGGATGAAACAAGCAATGGGCTTGGCTGGCTGTAAGCCAGGCAGCATCTTCCAGCGTCCTGGAGCTCTGGCCAGCCCGAGAAGCGTGTGGGATCAGGCCTCCCTGGCATCTCAGAGCACCAGGCACTGCTGGTTGGAGAAGGGGATGTCACAGGACAGTGGGATTTCAGGGTATAGACACTAGAGCTCCCTCCTGCCCTTGGGACTCCGAGCAGAGCCTGGCTTTGCAGAAAGATGCCCATATGCTCTGGAGGTGCCTTTCCCCACATCCAGGCATCTCTAGCTCCTCACAGCCCAGCTCTCCAAGGCCTGCCCTGTGTCAGGTCCTGGCTGCCAGCAGATGCTGGTGGGCAGGCTTCAAGCTGGGGCACAGCTGCCCCATGCCCATGAGCTGCCTGCAGTACCGGGGTGGCTGTCCCTCCCCCTCCTCCTGCCACCATGCACGAGGAACGTCTCCCCGTGGTGACGAATCCAGCTGAATCCAGGCGCAGGCTGCGATGCAGACAGTCACCAAGGGAGATTGTACCACGTGCATCCCCGCAGCCACGGGGAATGGGGACCAAGGCTTGCCTGCTAAGTTCCCTGCATCCCCCCCATGCTTGGCCATGCTCTGCAGGTGCTCTGGCAGTGCCTGGGTGGGATGGAAAGTGGATTTGGACGTGACCCTGTGCAGATCCCCTTGCAAAGGGCTGTCCAGCTGCACCCCAAGGAATGCACTTGGAGGTCATGGTGCTCCCGGCCAGGGAAGTAGGCATGGGACCTGTGGCTGCAGAAAGGAGAGAAGAGCTGCAACCAACAGGGGCCAGAGCAGGGCTGATGTTGGTGAACATCCTAGCTGACTTGTGAGCCTGTGGCTCCAGGGCCATGTCCTGGAGGTGACAGCCTGTTTTGGGAGCAGCCCAGTCATGCCCTAGCCTGGTGCTGCCCTCCCACTGCTGATCATTAACCACCCTTACTGGATGATGAGTTCAAGGACCCTCTCAGCGACTGTTGTCCCTAGATTAAGCAGAGCTGCGGCCATGCTGGAAGCAGCAGGACTTAGTCCTGCTGGTGGTTGCTGCAATGGTCCTGCATCTCAGCACACTCCTATGCTTGGCAATTGTCTCTGTCCCTGTTGTCCCTTCTTGGTCTTCCTTCCCCAAAAGACCCACCAGCCTCTCTCTGCATCTCTGGGATGTGCCAGTCTCTGCTGAGGGGTCAGTGCCTGGTGTACTTACTGCTGGGAGAGGAAATGAGCCCGGAGACACCAGCCCAGGCCATCTGCAGAGCACTTCAAGGATGCTGCCAGTTTGGGGGTGTCAGAAGCAGGTGCTTGAGCTGAGCTGATGCTGAGGGGTCCATGGGATGGGTGCAGATAGGCACATTCAGGGCAGCGTTGGGGCAGGGAGGATCTGACCCAGCTCGTCCCATTGACCTTGCCATGCTTTGTGCATCACAGGTGATATCCCGACGCCTTTATGGACCTATCTGGAAGTCAACCTTCGGACATTATAGGAACATCAACATTGGGAGCCCAGTGGTGCTGGAGCAGCTGCTCCGGCAGGAGGGCAAGTACCCCATGCGGAGCGACATGGCCCTGTGGAAGGAGCACCGGGACACCCGGCACCTGCCCTACGGACCCTTCACCGAGTGAGTCCTGCCCTGGCTGTGCTCTCTGGGGCAGCATGCCTCTCCTGCCGTTCCTTGGGTGTAGGGCCCAGGTGGCAGTTTGCATTGCTCCCACTCTTGCAAGCTGCCTGTCCCCACCAAGTAGAAGGGCATGGCCACGGTGGGCGGAATGACCCCTGGGACGGTTCCAGCCTGGGGTGGGGAGTGTGCACACAGGGACTGGGGAGCTCCTGCCAGCCACTGCCCCCTGCCCACCCATGCCCCCAGCAATGATCCTCATCCCACCCAGGGAAGGGGAGCGCTGGTACCGCCTGCGCCAGGTCCTCAACAAGCGGCTGCTGAAGCCCTCAGAGGCGCTGCTGTACGCGGATGCCATCGGGGAGGTGGTGTCAGACCTGATGGTGCGGCTGCGGGAGGAGCGGAGCCGCAGCCCCTCGGGGGTGCTGGTGGAGGACGTGGCCAACCTGCTCTACCGCTTTGCCCTGGAAGGTAGGGGTGTCCTCTCCCTCACCCCTGCCCTGTCTCACTCTTCCCATTCCCCTGGAGGTCTGGAAGCTGTTTGTCCCCCACAGGCATCTCTTATATCCTCTTCGAGACCCGCATCGGGTGCCTCAAGCAGCAGGTCCCTGCTGAGACCCAGCGCTTCATTGACTCCATCAACCTCATGTTCAAGAACTCCATCTTTGCCACCGTCCTGCCCCGATGGAGCCGCAAGGTGCTGCCCTTCTGGGACCGTTACCTGAACAGCTGGGACACCATCTTCGCCTTTGGTGAGCGGTGACGATGGGGGTCCAGTGTGGTGGCACTGGACTCCCTAAGGACCTCCAAAAGGGGCAGTCCCTGGCCAATTGTCTTTTTGGCAGCCCTCGCTCTGTCAGCTCTGGTTCCCACTCTCTGTCCCTGCAGGCAAGACACTGATTGACCGAAAGATGGAGGAGCTGGAGGGGCAAGTGGAGCGTGGTACTGAGGTGACCGGCTACCTGAGTTACCTGCTGGCCAGTGGCAGACTCAGCCTGGATGAGGTCTATGGCAGCGTGGCCGAGTTGCTGCTGGCCGGTGTGGACACGGTGAGAGCCAGGCAGCTGCTGCCAGGGGATCCCTGCTGAGCTCCATGGCCAGGGGAACCCATTGGGGCGTGCTCCACCCAGCCTTTGTGAGCTCTAGCCCGGTTGGGGCTGACACCCCACAGGGGCAAACTCTGAGGGATTGGTCAGTACAGACCCTGTCCTCTGCTCTGCTGCATATCCTGCTCCCTGCCTCCCTCTTCCCTGTGCTTGCTGCCCCTCACCCCTGACTTTTCTACACACCAGAGCAGGGGCTCTCTGGTGCTGTACTGATGCTGTGCTTAGCACAAAACTGCTCAGGTACTGGCCCCAATTCCTTCACTTCCCCTGGTGCTCTACTCCCCCAGACCTCCAACACACTGTCCTGGGCTTTGTACCACCTCTCCCGGGACCCAGACATCCAGGAGACCCTGTACCAGGAGCTGAAAGCTGTTGTGCCTGCCAGCCGGTTTCCTGCTGCTGAGGATATCCCCAAGTTGCCAATGCTTCGGGCCATTATCAAGGAGACTCTGAGGTACATCCCAGCCTTGTCCCTGCCCTGAGGTCCCGTCACCAGCCCCTTCTCCAGGGGGGATGCACCAACCAGGCAAGACGCAAGGCTGGATTTCAGTCCCTCTGGACTGCAAATATCCACCCCCCCCGGGGGATTGCTGAGCCTTGTCCTGCCACATCTCACTCTTTCCGGGATCTCCAGATGAGTTCTGCTCCCCCACTAATTCTCTCCATATCCCAGAGTCTACCCTGTGGTGCCCACCAACGCCAGGGTCTTCTATGAGAAGGACATTGTCATCGGAGACTACCTCTTCCCCAAGAATGTGAGTGGGGGCCGTGTTGTGGGGAGCCCCACTGCACTGAGTGGGGCCAGGAGGGGCCATTAAACCCCAGTTCCCGCCCTGCAGACCCTGTTTGTCCTGGCGCACTACGCAATGTCCCATGATGAGACCTACTTCCCCGAGCCTGAGCGGTTCCTGCCTCAGCGCTGGCTCCGGGGACACGGCTCCCCTCACCACCCCTTCAGCTCCATCCCCTTCGGCTACGGGGTTCGTGCGTGCGTCGGACGCCGCATCGCTGAGCTGGAGATGCACCTGGCCCTTGCCAGGGTAAGCAGGGATTCCTCCACTTTGGGTATCTTGCCATGAGCTGGGATGGGGGTCCCAGGGAGTCCCCAAGGCATTTCCAACCCCCCCTTCTCCCCACAGATGATCCAGGCATTCGAGGTGAGGCCGGACCCCCGTGGCGTGGAAGTGACATCTGTGTCCCGCATTGTCCTGGTGGCTGACAAGCCCATCAACCTGGAATTCATCGCTCGCCCAGGAGCCCCCTGACTGCACGTCCACCCTCCACCAAATGGAGATCCCCCTTACTGCCCCACAAGGAGGACAGGAAGGCAAACCCCTTCCCTGGCCAACTTGGGCCAGGGGGCTCACAGCTCCACAGAGGGAAAGGTGGGGGGGATGAGAGATTGCCCCCAGATCACCCTTGGGCCACTAGTAACCTCCTGCCCAAAATCAGCAGGAGGCTTGGGGAACTGCTGTGCCTTTGACACACTGCATGGGGGTTGTGTCCCCCCCAATCCCGTGCCCAGCTGGGCTGTGTCAGGAACCTGGGAGCTCTTTTGGGGCTGGGGGAAAGCAGGGAGGGGGCTTGCAGCCATTCGGTGTCTCCTTCGTCCTGTCCTTGTGTAGCTGCGCGTGGATCTGTGCCTGGAGCCAGGACATCTGGGTCCTCTCTGAACAGCTGACCTTGGCCTCAGAAACTTCTCTGTGCCTCACTTTTCCCCTTGCCCCCAGGGGAGGGTCGAGTGCTGGTGGTGTTTGGGGTTTGCGCCTTTCCCAAAGGACAGAGCCAGCCCTGGTCCTGGGAAATCACAGCAATAAGACAGCACATTCTTCATGATGGGAGGAGGCCTGTCATCACCCAGCATTGGTACTGTGTCCCCTGGCAGAGCCAGCCAGCACAGGAGGGGTGTTTAGTTCCTGGGACTTTCCACTGTCAGCCATTATTGCACTGAGATGCTGATGCGGGGTCACAGGAATGGCAGGGCTCGCTGCAGGCAAAGCAGGAGGATAAAGATCAGCTCAGCATCCTCTACCCCCAAGCCAGGACCATTGCAAGGCTCACAGCTGGTAGCAGCCACAGGCAGAGAATGCATTGCCATTTGCCCAGAGTCCTTGAGGGATGAAGCAAGGGATGTTTTCAACAGCAACCCTCATACTTTCCTTCTTCTTGGACTGAAGGAAGCAGCAGACAGAAACCTTGCGGTACCAAAGCTTCCGTCCCTCAGTGTGTCCCCAAAGGGACCTACACATCACCAAGATGATTAAAACTCCATGCCCTGTGTCCCCATCCCCTGGGTTCTACCCACATGTGCCAAGGTACTACTCTGCCAGTGCCAAACTTGCTGGCAAGCAGCCAGTACCCCTTCCCAGCCTGTACCCCAGGAAGGCAAGAGGCAGTTCTTGGATCAGGATGTTTTGTTACATCAAGGCTGAACAGACTAACAAATAAATAAATATCCCCTGCCCACCCCAAAATGTGCACAGGGTTTCCATGCAAGTGCCCATCCTGCTGCCAGCTCTGGCACAGACTGTGCCGCTGCCAGAGAGCTCCAGCCCTGTATGACCCTAAAATAAAAAAGCTGTGCGTGCAGCTGAGCCTATGCTACCAGGCACCGAGCACAGACAGTGGGACTGTGTTCACTAGGAGGGAGCCACAATAGAAACACTCAGATCCATCAGCAGGATGGCAGAGGGCTGGCCAGGTCCTCTGGGGCTGTATGGGTCTCTGCCCAGCTGCAGGCATGTTGCAGCCCCTCCAGCATAGTGCCCACTGAGCATCACTGTGTGCTCACTGGAAGGAGGCACCCCTGGGTCCCATTTTCAGTGTTTCTGCCTCTTCGAGACTGGCAGGATCTAGCCCTGGACTCAAGACAAGCACGAGGAGTGGGGTGAACAGGCATGTCCTCCCCACAGAGAGCCTTCGGGCCCAAGCCTCCTTCTCACAGGTCACGCAAGAGATCCCCGAGTCAGACAAGACAGTGGCATTTCCCTGGCGTCTTCAGAGTGAGGATCGATCGATGCCTGTGGGGCAAGAGAGCGTGTGAGACCATAACCCCAAATCAATGCTGGACCAGGCACCCTGTGACATGGCCCCTCCAACCATCCCAGTGGACACTGAGGTCTTTCCTCCATTCCTTGCTTTTATGCAAGCCCTGGGGTAGGAGGGCAGCTTGGCTTGAGTGGCCCCCTGCAGCTCCTGACACAGCCACCCCTGTGAGCATCAGGGATAAGGTGAGCAAAGGCACTGTGATGGGGGAAATGGGGGCAAGGGGGATATCCCATGTATGGGTAACACATACCATTCCCAGTCCCCTTCTGTGCAGAGCAGCTGGGCACTGCTGGTAGGCACAACAGTGGTCCCAACCCATTGCCCACCACCACCCCATACAGCAAAATTACCTTTGGGAAGCAGTTGGGAACTGGAACCAGCTCCCCACTCCTCATTTCACCCCTAAAGAGGTGCCACAGTGGGTGCCAGGACTGTGCCTATCCATAGCCAGTGAGGATTCACCAGGCAGTGGGTGAGCAGAGCCAGCTGCAGGTGGCCAGGCAGTGTGGTTCCAGTACCACCTGGGAGTGAGCCCTGTCTCTGGAACAGATGGTTTTGGGGCTGCTGCAAGTGGAGGGGATGGGGGGCTCTGCCAGCTGAGGCCCATGGGCTGGCCACATTTTGCTTATGGCTAGTGGTGGGCAGCATGTCTGGTGTGTGAGAGTGGGGGTCTGTCTACTCTGTATCCCTTGGGAATGGCACTGGAGGTGCTCAGGTCTCGGGGGGAATGAAGCAAAATCAAAAATAGGCTTTTGTCTTGGGGTGCATCACACCCCAAAACCCTGAACCAGCCCAAAGCCCAGGGACCTGCAAAACCTGCATTCCACACACTGCGTGAATGGGCTCTGGAGGCATGTCTCCATGGAGGGTGCCCCCATCCTTCCTCACAGTCACCAGGGGTCCCCTGTGATCCGTGTGTACCCCTGGGACAAGCAGCACCTGGGTCCTGCTGTCCCTGCCTGGGCACCCAGTGCTGCCAGACCCCAGCCCCAGCTTCCTCCGTCCCCCAGGATCACTTTGGATGGGACAGAGGCAGGTGACCCAACAGCAGGAAAGGGACAGGCACACAGCAATGAGGGGGTGGCGCCTACCTGAAGTGGAGAGAAACTGAGGGTGCAAGTGGAGAAAGATGGAGCACCGTGGGCTAAGAGTTAAGAGCATCAATACCTGCAGGGGTGAGCACAATGGCCTGCAGGATGTCAGAGAGGGAGACGATGCCCCGCGGGTATTGGTTCTCATCCACCAGAACCAGGCGATGGACCTGTGGGTGCAGGCAGAGCATCACAGGCAGGCTGGGCAGCCAGCAGCCGTGGCTGGCACAAGGCACCCCGGCCACTCACCTGCTCCTTGGCAATGCGGTCAATGATGTCCTCCATAGGTTCATGGGGGTAGCAGGTGAGGACCCCCTCCAGGCAGACCGTGCGTTGCCGCAGTGCCTCCCTCACACTGATGTCCAGGTTGTTGTAGGTCTTCTGGGCTGCCAGGTGCTGTGATAGATGTGTCCCCATTCAGTGCCCCAAGGTGTCCCTGCACCCCATTGTGCCAGCACAGAAGGGACACTGCCCAGGAGATGCACATAGCAGATGTGCACTGGCACATGCATGACAATGCATGTGGGATGGGTTTGCATGGGCACAGACTGGTATAAACACCCTACCAGTGCATGCAAGGGGCCAAACTTGAGCCTGGACATGCACACACGCAGGGTACTCACAATGACATCAAACCGTGAGTACAGGCCAACCACTTGCCCTGCAAAGAGAAGCAGTGCAGGGGCTGCAGAAGGAGCCCTAGGGACTGCCTGCCATGTTCCTCCCACAACCCAAGGGGCAGCCCAAGGGCCAGAAGAAGGGATTTGGGTAGGGATGGTGCTGTAGCTGCTAGCAGAGGGACATGAGGACGTCACTTTTTCCATCCCCAGGTACCAGCATCATTGATGACAGGCAAGGCGGAGACACGGCGATCCACAAAAATCTCCAAGGCAGTGTAGATTGGGGCAGTCTCAGCCACGACGGCCAGATCACGGAAGGTGCCAATGCACAATTCCTGCACTGTTTTCTTCAGGAAGCGTGGCTTGGGGATGCTAGAAGCCTTCAATGGGACAGGGCAGGGCTTGGTTGGCACCTGCAAGTACCTTGACACCCTTGCCTGTGACACCAGCCATGAGTGTGCACAAACAGCCCCAGCACTCACAAAGATGTGGAGAAACTTGAGGATGCGCTTGTGTGTCAGGATGTGCAGGACATTGCCCGAGACAGGCTCAATGACAGGGAGGCGGTGGATTTTGTGCTTGATCAGGGAGTAGACAGCATCAAAGAGGCTGTGGGTGATGTGGACATCGTGGTAGGATAGGGCTGCTTTCAGGTGCACACACACCCCCACTCCAAGGGGTGTGCTCTCCCCCAGTGGACAAGCTCTCACCTATTGCTCGGAGAGATGTAGACCAGTGGCTGGAGGGAGCCCTGCAGGTACACCTCTGCCAAGGGAAAGAGCTATGAGAGGAGGTCCTCCAGCCCTCCAGCCCTCTCTTGCAGCCCTACAGCTCGAGAGCCCACCTACATACCCTGTGTGACAACATCAGCCCAGCCACACACATGATTTTTACCTCTCCAAGTCTCAATCTTGTGCTCCTCCACCTCGTAGATCTGAACCTGGAGGCAGGGAAATGCCCGGGTCATGGTGGTTCCATGGGGAACTGAGGGCACTCTGAGACATTGTCCCCTTCCTTGGGCATCACACCCCATCATCCAAAAATGTTTTGGGGGCCAAGCAGGGGAGAAACAAATGGATGCTGGTCTGGCCCAGAATCATCCCCTGGTCATTGTCTAGCAATTAAGAAAGGACCAGCTCCATGCATGTCCTGATCCCCAAGTCTGCCTCACGGCACTCACCAAAGGTGAGCGGTAGTAGCGGTGGAGGATGTTGATGAAGTCGGTGATGGTGAGCATCCCTGTGGAGATACATGGGGCTGGCAGCACTGCCTGTACCCTCTCTGACAGGCAGGGGATGGGACCAGGCATTGCTTCTGGCACTCACCCACAAAGCTCTGTGTCTTGCTGTCCCAGAGAGGGGCAGCACGAACCCCGTTGGCCACCAGTGCCAAAAAGGCTTTCTTGATCTGCTGGCAGAGTGCAGAGGGGTTCAGAGGATCCCCAAGCCTGCTTCTTCACTGCCCATCCCCACTCATCCCCCAGGTTTTCACCTCCAGGGAGATGTCAAAGACAACAAGCTTGCAGCTGGTGGGGATGGCATCATAACAGCAGTGGCTCCTCAAGAAGTGCATGTAGACCTCAGCATCAGGAGTCTGAAACTCGGTCTCTGGGCCTAGCCCCAGTATCTCATTTCCCAGTGTGAAGGTGACAGGTCTCCTGTATTCTTCCTCCTCCTCTTCCTCCTCCCTGGGGCATACGGCCTTTGGAAATCCTGCAGGCAAAGTCACCCCAGCCCTAGCCAGTAAGCTGAGCTGCTGGGTCTCAGCACCCTCCTGCCTGGGGGGAGCAGGAGATGCTCCCGACAGAGCCTCCCTGTTCCCTATTCCACAGGAGCAGCACACATCAGTTCTCCAGCCTGGGGCAGACTCTAGTTGAGGAGAGAGGTATGGGCAGGATGGGCAGAGGACCATTGCATTTGTCACACAGTAAGGCACTCCCCCCTCCTACACACCTAGACTTTTCCTGCTACCCACCTTCCTCCTCAGGGCATGCAACAGCATCGAGCAGCGCCACCTGAGAGGGCACACAGTAAGGAGGAGTCAGCAGGAGTCAACCCAGTCTTTTCCCCATCCATGAGTTCTGCCTGCACCCACCCAGCTGCTCTGGCCCACCCAGGCCAGGCAGAGAGAACTGTCTTTTTCAGGGTGGGGATGTGGGCACCCCCCACCAGCTGGACTCCCAGAGCCTGCAGTCTCCATGGTGGCTCCAGTCCAGGACACCCAGCTTGTCCTCCTGCTCTGGGGAGACAGCAGGGGTCTCCAGAGCAGGACAAGGCATGGATGGCAGGGCCTCCTGCCTTCTCTCTCTGCTGTTGGAGCCGAGCATGTCCCACAGCGGCTCTGCGCCCATCCTCTCCCAGTCCCAAGGCGTAAATTCTGCTCTTGCTTCTTCCCATGCAGAGAGCCTCGCCAACCCCATTGGCCCCTCCCGGGAACCAGGTCCATCCCAGGAAACCTACATTAACAAAGGGGCAGCCGGAGGAAGAAGGGAGTCCCTAGGACGGATGGCTGACCCAGTTCCCCCATCCCCGGGAGACCCTACATAGCAGACCAGCACATGCAGAGGGAAGAGCTACCCCGGCCACAAACCTTCCTGACACAGCCGAACTTTACAGGCCACCCTAAAATAATGAAGGCACAGAGACAGGGGCCACTCCCTAAGGAGCCTAGAGCCAAATCCGAGGAGGAGGAGACCCTGCACCACCTGCCCCAGCCGTTCCCAAGAGGCTTGACACAGCTGGGACAAGGACGTCCTTGTGCCCAGGGCTGCATGTCGGTGGGAAGGGGCCCGTCAGCCGCCCACATTCTCCCACCCCGGGGTGGCAGACCACCAGTCGGGGGTCTGTCGGGCCGCGCCCCCCACCCAGCCTTACGGTACCTGGGACGCAGCAGAGCCGCGGAGCTGCTCCATGCTATCTGCGGGGCAGCGCTGCTATTCTGGGCCCGCGGCTGGCGTGGCCCTGGCAGATAGAGTGTCAGCGAGCAATGCCAGCCATGCCCCCACCGCCACCGCCGCGGGGGGGGACACGGCCGGCACCGCCGAGCAGCGCCGCAGCCGCCGCGCAGCCTCGGGCTGAACGAGGTGGTCGCGGCCCCGGGGGCAGCGCTGGCCCGAGGACCCGAGGGAGAGGCCGACGGAGGGATGGCTGGGGGCAGAGAGCGGAAGGACACCCCGCTCGGCGGACCCCGTCGCCCCGGAGCGGAGCTCCGCGCTGCCGGGACTCGGTCCAGCCGCCCGGTGCTGCCCCGCCCGTCGCGGTGTGGGCCGCAGCGTTCCCCTCTCCCCGGGGATGCTGGAGAACCGCTGGGTCCAGCATGGCCTGGGCGGATGCGGACCCTTTGTCCTCGACGCTGCCCAGCCCCGCCGATCCTGCCCCGATCCTGCTGCAGCTCACTGTCCGCGGCGATCCTGGTCCCACGGCGGGGCAGCCCAACCTGCGGGGTAACCTTCCTTGCCGCGGGGCCACCTCCTCCTGCTCGCCCTCTGCCCGCTCCCGGCTCCCTTTTCTATTTCTGGGAGGCTGTCGGGCTGGCTGCAGGGTTGGTGGCTACAGGGCCAAGGGGGCAGGTCTCTGGCTGCAGGGGACAGCTGGATACTGGCCCATGGCGGGCTACAAGGAGTTCCCTGGTGCTGCCTCACGGCAGGCAGGAAAGAGGAGGGACGAGGCCGGGCCTCGGTGCTGGCTCACAAGGTGGCCCAAATCCCACAGTGGTGCCGGGGCCCATGGGGCCAGACCCTTACAGCTGTGCTGTGCAGAGCAGCCTGGCTCCAGCCTGGCCATCACGGGTGCTGGCAGCAGGGAAGGGAGCAGGCATCTCCACTTTCGGAGGCTATTTTCAGGTGCTGGAGAGAAGCCGAGGAGAGATGAGATTGTCACCAAGGAGACCAGAGAAACAGGGCCCAGCACTGGGAAATGGTGGGCTGTGAGGAGAGGGGAAGGAAGGGTCCTCTAACAGGCCCAGGGCCCACACATCAGCACCTTCTCTGGGCCCCAAGAACCTGCCCATACATCCAGCATTCACCTGTCATACTGGGGAGACAGAACCCTGAACCAGCAAAGGCCAGCTCTGGGCACCCAACCCTTCCTACTCCTTTTGTAAGATTGGACTGCACTGTTCCCCTTGATTAATGATGCATGGGATAGTCCCTGCGACATGAGGAAGACTCCAGACCAAAGCAGTTATGCTGGAAGCTGCTTTTCCATGTGTGTGGGGGGCTATGTGTACTTGCCATAGGGCAGCAAGAATTACCCCAAGCTCTGGGAAGGGACAGGGAAGTGGGGTGGTAGCACAAACCCTCCCTGTATCAGAGCCTAGTGAAGCATGGGAAGGAGTGAGCTTCCCACCAGATACAAAAAGGTCATTGAATAGGAAGGCAACTGAGAACCAGGAGAGCAGTTAAGTGTTAAAATTTAATAGAAATCCTTGAGAAACAAAGGGAAAATAGAGAGCAAACCCAAGAAAAGAGCACTAGCCTGCAGTCCACGCACACATGCTGCAGGGCACACCAGAGAGCCAATGGCCTTGAGAAGGATGCTCCCTCCCCAGCAGCCCCACTGCCCCCACAACAAACTGGAGCCACACTGGTACTTGTGGTCTCTCTGGAGCTGCAATGTGCGAGCCTGAGGCATCCTGCAGGGCCTGTTGCTGTGGGAGGCCAGGGTGTTGGCACAGACATTCAGAAAGGAAAAAACAGGGCAGTTTTACTCCCTCTCAGGCATGAGGACTGGGGACTTATCTCCAGGGGACAGGCTACAGCAGGGCAAGAGCAGACTCAGCTGCCAGCAACTCAGGACACAGACACAGGCGAGCAAGGGCTCAGCCTGTGCTGACTGAGGACAGAAAGGGCAGGCTCAGCCAGCTCCCACACAGCAAAGAAACCACCATGTCAGGCTTTTAGTACAGTCTAGGGCAAAGGCCAGATAAACCCCCACTTCCTCAAGCTTTGCCACTTCCTTGAGAAAATGAAATCCTCTTTGCCCAGGAAAATATCCCTCTCTACAACCATCCCCAAAACAAGTGTGCAGTGCAAAGGGCTCCCACAGTCCTTGCTCTAAAGAGCCAGCTCCTGTCTCTTCATTTGAGGTAGGCTGATGTGTCCCCAGGGAGGGACGGTGGCTGCTTGGTCACATCACCAGGGCAGTGTCAGAGAGGCAGCCAGCAGGTCTCTGGTTGGCTCCATCAGTGCACTTGTTGAGAGGTATGCTCTGAGTAGGGCTGGGCTCCAGGCATCTTGTGAGATCCTCACCAGCTGAAGGGAGGCATGTGCTGCAACAAAAAGGAGATCCTGAATTTCTTAGGGACAGTGAGAAAGGACCAAAAGAACCATGGTGCAATAATCATCTGCTGCATTATGACACATGGACTCAGAGATAGGGCTGCCAGGCTCACCTGCTTCATCTCCCATTCTAGGCAGTACCACTGACCCCAACAGGTATCCCAGTATCAGTGGGACTGCAGGGTCACAGCTTAGTCTCCCTGTCTGTGTATAAACTCAACTCCATCCTCGCCTCAGCACAGAACAGTGATGACCTTTCTCTTAGAGCCAGAGATCAGTGGTGTGCCTCCCCTTCACTTTGTCTCACCCAGACAAACTCCAGTCCTCCACCTCTGCAGGAAGCTGTCAGCAGCCCAGCTTTGCTCGGGGAAGCTGGGAGAGTGCAACAGACCTGGAGACCTCACTGTTCCCGCAGCCAGTGCTGCAGCTGAGAGCCTCTGCTCACCATTAACCACATCAGTGTCTGCAGAAGTGATACAAGTTCCAGTGCGGGGAAATATCTTGTCAGCATGTTCTGACCATGACAGCTCCAAGCATCACCTAATCTGGCTGTTCTGAGCTTCACTCCCATCTAAGATGGGTGTACAGTGCCAAGGAGACATGCCCAGTTGCACAGACATCATGCCAGCTCCATCTGTTGGCTCCTCAGACAACGGAGGCTTCAGAGCCTGCAAACCAATCTGCTCCTCTCCTAATAAAGCTTCTTTCTGGGCTGCCAGTTTTCTACCAGGACACCAGTCCAAAAGCCACATGATGAACACCATGAACGTCACGGCCAGTGCAAACTCACCCCAGTCTGCCCAGTTCCAGTTTGCTGAAGCCATTTGATTGAATGCTACTCTTCTGGAGAAAGAATGACTTTGGCAATGACCACTGTGGAAGGAGAGGAAGACAACAGAATGGCTATTTAAGTAGTGGCAAAAATCCCTTAAGCCTGCTGTACTTTGCTATAGGCTGCCCTAGAGAGCTTCAGATAGAGCTGCCTCACTGCTGCACATTGTCACTGCCACCAGACTGTTCCCAGAATAGCAAACAGAGAAATCTTTGCTCTCTGCCTAATGATCCCTCTGCTGAAAGTGGGAGTAGAGCATCTTGAGGTCAAGAGTGGGTTTCTGTCAGAGAAACATTCTGCTGTAAGGCACAGGAGTGACAGAGACGACTCCCTCACAGAGAGGAAGAGTGGTCAGGACAGGTGCCAAATATGTAGGGCTGTGCCCAGTACACCCAAGGATATTCAGATGCAAAATACTTGCAGATCTAATATACTGCTCATGACTTCATGTTTGTAAGAAATAGGGCAGCATGGGTTTCTTGAGACTCCTGGAGGCCTTGGCAAAGAGGGAAGAAGGCAAACAGGTAAGACAGGAGCCAGAGGAAGCAGAACAAGCAGGAGCTCTACCCAACTCTGTGCAGGTAAACAACCATTCTCTGCCAACCTTACCCACAGTTATACACACCATTTGGGCCAAATCCGTCCCTGCCCCAGTGTGGTACCCTTTGACACACCAGTTCTTCAGTAGCTCCAGACCTGAGAAGTGACAGAAGACAGTAAGTGAGAATGAACAGCCAGGTTTACAGAGAGTTAAGCTTTCCCAGCTCAGGGCATGCAAATATGCTGTACTGACCACATAGAACATGCTATGCAATAACTACTTGAACACGTGCTTGAGCACCAGCCAGCAAACACGGGGTAAACCAAGGGCGTTCACCCTTTGTACGAGCAAACATCAGTGCGTGGGCTGCTGCAGTGCTTGCCTCCTCCCAGGGAGCCAAGACTTTCCTTGCAGCAGACTCAGTGAAACAGGAAAACTGGGGCAACACAGGATTTGCCAAATTAGACCAGATTGGCTGTCCCCCTGAGCCCAGGGTCTGCCAACAGCGTTACCTGATTTGGGCTGCACCAGTGAAAGTTCCCACTGTGCAAATGTAGAGCAGCTTTGCTGTCATTAACCCCTTTCCCAGAGGAGGGCAGCTCAGGCAACCTCCTACTTGCACAGCACTGATCAGCTGCAGCATCCCAGCATATCATCTCCACCCTACAGGGATCCATCCAGAGCTCAAGATGGGCTGAGACTTCACCCCTGTCAGAGGGTAAGACTGGCACAAGCTGAGATTGTCGCTGGTGTGACTGGAAGGGACCAATCCTCTCACCACACACAAGACATGGTGCTCCAGAGCACAGCAAGGTAATTTTGAAGCAACTGCACTGAACAGGCTTCACTTCCTCCAGGGTTTCCTGCTAGCTGTCCCCACTACAGCCAAGCACACTGCTCTTGGCCAAGCCAAAAATATTGAGAAATCCAGGACTACTTCCATTCTGTTTTCTTATTTAAGAGCCTTAGGATCATAGCAGAAGGCTAGGGTGACTTGAGAATTAAGAACCAGCAGAGCAACGGCTAGTCCATTGATGCTGTCCAGCTGGCATTACTGTGGTTTTCTGTAAGATACCAGGAAAAATCCTTTCTCTCCAAAGCCTGTTCCTTGGTGACCTTTCAGCAAGCCCCAGAGCCTCATTAAAAAACTCCCACATGTTGGGGGCCAAGAGGAGCAGGGCGGCTCAGATGTCTTGTCCTGGGTCTGTGCAGCAGCCTGGGCTTTGCATCTTGCAGGCTAGGGAAAGAGGAGTGCCACATGGAACACAG